TGTGACACTTGCCTTAGGCAGGCTTGATATCGGGAAAGCAATCGCGTTAAAATTCGTGACACACAGGCAGAGAAAACGGCATTTACCTCCTAATGCCTTCAAATTGAATGTCATTCACCCAAATGCCATTCGTCACCTAATGCCATCGCCATAACTCATTCGACTGAGAAATGCATACTCTCAACGGCACAGCTGATGAAGTAATTGTATAAAACTACATTTGATTCGACTGGAAGGAAACTTTTCGCGTATTTTACTTACACTAATCACTTAAACCAGTGCTTAAAGCCAATGTTCAGCTAGTAGACACTGTAAAATAAATGCGACAGGTGCCATTTTGTTTATGCGCTGCGGATCTGACTAGCTTTGGCTTAAGTTGCTACACGGTTGGTTGCAATGTCGTGAAACAAAGTACCAAAGGAAATTTAAGGGCAGCGTAATATGCTTATTTATACATTCATTTATTATCTGATATGTATGAAGCTCGTAAATGCATGTTTGTTTCTTTATTGCTACTCACCCAATGCTCACGAGGAAGGTGCTGGGATCGACATCATCAAGTCAAATGTCATTCGCTTAGGATGTGTAGCAGTGCCACCGAAAAAAAAAAAAAAAGTCATTCTGTAACTGAATGACTTCGCTGCCAAATGTCTGTGTGGCACGGGTATAATACGCCTTATAAACAGCCAAAGAACAACCATATGTCGCACAATGCGAATAGCGTAGCAAGTGGGCCGTCCAATGCTCCAACCAATCATTACAAGAGCTTGTTCTTGGTCCCCTATTACCGTATTTCCTCGATTCTACCGCGCCCTCGATTGTAACGTGCACTTCTTTTTCGCGACAAAAGAGAGAAGAAAAAAGTTCATAGGAGTCAACCTTCGCTCATTGAGAACAAGTGTTTGGTTTTAATGCATTGAAGTTTCGAAAGATAAAACAAAGTCAAACAGCCGGCCCTGCAGCTAAAACTGTGACCACTACGGCAGCGTTAGCAGTCTCGTAATAGGTCAGTCCTCGTTGCTCTCGGACAACTCCTTATCGCTGTCAACGGCCCAAAGCATCTCATCCACGGTACCGTTCATCGCATTCGAAATGCCACATTTCTTGAATGCCTTGATGACCATGGCTGATGGTACTGCACACCACGCGTCCTTCACCCACGCAGCGAAGTCTTGCAGAGAGGCGCGCTTCATCCTGTTGCCTGGCGTGAAATCATGTCGTCCATTGCTCAGCCAGTCGGTGTAGAGCCCCGAATCTTGTCATTCATCGGCTTGTTCATGTAGACATCTAGCGGTTGAAGTTGAGACATCATGCCGGTATGACTACAAGGTCCGCATTGCACGCAGCGAGCTTGTCCTTGATCCGCTGGTCGAGATGGCACCTGAACGCGTCGAGCACAAGCATTGCTCGCAGGCCCGAACCGGCGCCAGGCCACTTCTGCCAGATGATGGATACAATCAGCGACTAGGTCTGTTGTCATCCAACCTTTCTCGTTGACCCGCACGATCACACCACTCGGGAAAACTACTCCTTTCGGGAGCGTCTTCCGTTTAAATATCAGGTATGGGGGAAGCTTGTGCCCATCTGACGTGCACAAGAGCATTGCCCACACTAGTTTTTTCATGGCCGGATGTGAGCACGCGAACTTGCTTCGCCCCCTTCTTCTTGACGGTTGTGGTGCCAGGCATATCGAAGTAAAAAGGCATCTGATCGGCATTCTCGATTTGCCCAAGCAGGTAGCCGTTGTGCAGCAAGTTTAGGACGAACCTCCGAAAACTGTGAAGCTTTTCTTTGTACTCCTGCAGCAACTTCTGGCATATGCCCGTTCGCCTCCGGAGGGCAAAGCCTTTCGTCTACACAAAGTTAGCCAGCACCTGCTCGCTTTGAACTCGCTCCGCGTTAGTCTTTTTTCTAAAGCTAACTGCATAGCCCGCACTTGGAGCAGTTCTGTCGTCAGGGGCCACTGTGCCACTTGCTCGTGAAGCACGTACTCTGCGAGCAGCTTTTCATCTGCGGAAACTGACCCTGCTGTGGTCCACTGAAGCCTTTACGTGAAGATTTGCTCATGACAATCTAGTGCTTTTGTTTCCGCCAGTCCCGCGCGCACGTTTCGGGAACTCCAAACGACCGCGAGACGGCCCGATTTCTGTCAGTTTCTGCACACGCGATGACTTTTCTTCTAAAAGCGGCATCGTGGTGCACTCGTCCAGTCTTTGAAGTCGGCCCTTTCATTGATGTCGACGTTAATGCACTACAAGATGACAACTCCTCAGCACACGTACCAAGTGCCGCAAACGGGAAACAAAATGGCAGAAATGGTAGACGCGCGTAGGAGGCGGACATTTTTGAAATGCCGATGACAATAGAAAGACCGTATTCATTTTTTTTTGTAGTCGATTATAAACCGCATGCGATTTATGGACCCACTTGACCAGAAAAAAGGTGCGCATTAGATTTGAGTAACTACGGTAACTGTGGCCCATACCCACTTGAGCCATAATTCATCATGGTCAAGTGTTTAGCAGATACCACGCTTCTCAGAAGAATGGCGAAAAATAGCATAGCGAATGCCGGCCTACTACCCAAAAATTTTTTTATTGATGCCCTAGTGGGTATCAAGCAAATGTTCTTGCAGTAGTTCTTTAATGAGCGTTTTGAAAAGGCTGTGAAAGGCCACTTTTCTAGCTCTCACTGCGAGTGTGCGGCGCCTTGTGCAGGCCTGGCGTTTTTTTCTGTAGTTTTCACTTCACAGTATTTGAAAAATGTAACTTGATTCTCACTTAAACTTCAATATTCGAATTAGCTCCACACCCATCTTCCCACAGCTCAAGTATATGGATCATTTACAGAGAAAAGAGGAGGTGATTTTTAGTCAACTGAGAATTCTGAATTCCAGGCCGTGTGCTGAGCCTATAATGCTTGGCTCGCGTGTTGTAAGGAACATTAACCACTGATTGGTAGTTTTCCGACCTTGCTCTAAAAAGTTGCATGGCCCTTTTAGGGCAAGCCTTTGAATAGGCAAGAACATTCACACGTGCCAGTCACTTCTGGCTAATGATATTTAGCAGCTGAAAATTCCTGTTCAATAGAATGAATACTAAATGAATTTAACAACCAACAAATGGTCACCACTGAAGTGCCGCCTGTGACCTCCTGGGCCTTCTGCAGTCAGACTGGTTTTAAAGGCAGACAGCCAACAGCAGCAACAGGCACCACTTCAATATTAATTAAGGCCGCAAAACTTTCCCGTGTATAAGAATGAGCACACTTTTCAGTGTGTGTACACCTACAGTTTACAGTGCTACAGCTTACTAAAAACTAACTAAAAGCTTGAAATTAGCCGTGTAGCCTCTGTATCGCCTTATAACGTGAGGAGAGTACCGACACAACATACAAAACATGCCGCAACGCGCACTTGCCACTTTGGCTTGGATTAAATCTGCGTGCAATAATAGTACACTTGATGCTTAAGAGATGGCGCCAGAAGCCACGTGCTATCATCAGTGTTTTGAATGTGCAGACGACATTATTGCGGCAGTTTTTGGGGGTGCAATAATTACTTGAGGAAAAAAAATCATTTTTGTTGGGCGATGTGGGGTTGCGAGAATTATGCGAGTGCGAAGATTACGCGAGTAAATACGGTATTTATGGCAATGACTTGCAATTGCCAACTACACTGCCTGAAGATCCATGTAAGCAAACTGCCAAACGAATACAGGCCAGATTTGTTGACAAAAAAAAAAAAAAAGAGAAAAGTATGCCAGTCAGGCTGCAGAACGGCTGACAACCGAAACACCAGTCGAACGTAAAGTTAAGCCTAAAGCTCGTGTAGCCCAGGGCCGGCCTGCAGCGATGCCTCTTAAAGCACTCATTGCGAGTTTCGATTACAAAACGGAGCAATATTGCAATTCACCGTTTATGAAAACTGCACTACGTGATCACAGACATGTCACAAGTTTTGAACAAAGCGACAAAGCGCCTGTTTAAACTGGTTTGAACACCACGGGTTCGCAAATCGTGCTGCAAGCTTCATACTGTGCACCATGGACGACTATTTAGTGCTGTACCAAGTGGATCTCTCGATACCTGCAGACACAGACGTGCACACATAGGTGACTACAGGCAGCTGTGTCGACAGGCCTGAGGAACGTGATAAACACAGCGAAAACCTGAGAGTTAAAACCCCGCTACGCATGCCATTCAGTTGGGTGGCTAACTCAGTTGTTTTCGCGAAGTGACATGGGCACCTGAATACACAGCCTAGCTAGCGGAAGCAGCACGCTCATTGCACGGCAGGACACCTTTGAGGGGTCAGGCATATTTACAACAGTCCACGGGAGGTCACAGCAGCACCTTGGGAGCTTTCGCCACCAGGAATGTGTCAAGTAAAGAACACGCTAGGGCGCGTGTTCTTTTCTTGGTATTCCTGGTGCTGCTCAGACAATCATGTAGTCAACTCAACCTTCTTTTTGAAGCTCAGGTTTGCATCAAAATTCTTGCTTGTTTCGGAGCAGTTAAGTGCTTTTTATGCTTTTGGAGCAGCTCGGCGCAAGAAAACGGAAACGTATCAAAAATGCGCAGCTGTCTCACCCTTGCAATAAGTTTCACGAGATAAAAGTACCCAGCAAGTTCCTCTGCACACCAAGACAAAAACATTCTGAGGTTGTGAGTTCAAAAAACCAAGCATTCATTATGAGGCAAGCAGCTGTAATGAGGGACTTCTCCTTATTCTTGACCACCTGAGGCTCTTTATCGTGCGCCTATATCTAAGTAGACAGCCATTCCTACAGTTTGTCACCATTGATATGCAACTACTATAATCAAAGCCAGGCCATTGTACTTGGCAGTGCAACATCTGCGCTTCCAAGCTACCAAGGCGACTGACTGCACATACCAAAGACCTGTTAGCTCTAGTCCCCAGCCATTATTAGTCCTACGACCCCAAGAAGTTTTGACACAGAAGAGAACGGCGCACAGCTACACCATACAAACTTGGGCACCTGGTAATGTCGTAGACCATGAGTGCTCCTGCCGCGCCGCGGTAGTAGGAGCGTGTGACTGCGCGGAAGCGCTCCTGGCCAGCTGTGTCCCAGATCTGGAGCTTGATCTTCTGACCACACACCTCGATGATGCGTGTGCCAAACTCAACACCAATGGTGTGCGGACAGTCGGCCATGAACTTCTTTTCGGTGAATTGGTGCAGCAGGCACGACTTGCCCACGCCCATGTCACCAATAATGATGTACTTGAAGATGTATGAGTAGTTGTATGGCCCTGCAGCCATCCTGCTGGCTGTGATGATGGTAGCTTTAGGCTGCCGCTTTTTCACGCGTTCTCGGTCACTTTCCCACTTGATGCGTCACCTGCATACATTCATTGGGTGCATTAGCACACATGAGGAAGAGGTCAGAATTAATGGTGCACGCACTATTTCCAAGTCAAACACAGTGATGGAAGGAAATGCCAAAGGTAAACTTGGCATCTACAAACTTCAAAACATAACTGTCTTTACACATAAACAAGCAAATTTCTTCATAGAAAGCTTTACGAAGTGCAATAAACATTCATTTTTCATGCATCTTTGTTCAGCAAATAATTTACCGAACAAAAATGGGGCATGCAAGCAGGAAGATGTGTATCCACAGTGAAATCCACAATTTCGATTACGCTCGTGGACCTTGCGATGTAGTGGTGCAACAATTTAGTTCCCAGGGCACAAACTTTCCGTTGCCTATGCATGGCTGTGGGTTGCCCAGCCCTTGAAAAAAAAAAAAGCATTTTTTGTCCTCACAGTGAATATGAGTGAACAAAGTTCTTTTATCACAGGCCTACTTATTCAGAATGCAGAAATCATTCTATTGGTAGTGGCAAATACAGAGCAATCAAGTTACGGTCAACATATGAATAGCTGGAGCTGAAGTTGTTCATGAAACTATACACTGGGAATGATAAATCCATTGAATCTTTCTAATAAGCAGTCAACTATTTCTGCACAGAAATGGTGAAAAGCGAGTGTATCATATTAACGTTGCTTTAACTGTACGGTTTCAATCACAGTTCCACAAAGACAAAATAAAAGGTACGTGGCAAGTATAAGGCAATATGCAGTATATGTGATGATGCGTTCATTAATTTTGAATGCAGCACACAAGCCCCTTGAAATTAACAGCAGACTTTTTGCAATTCATGCCTAATTGAATGAACAGAACACTGAATAGAAAAATGTCATATGTTTCATACAATCATAACTGAAAAAGCACCAACCTATTCCAAGATTATTTTTGTCAATTTGTGTGAACATTCTTGACTACCATATGTAACAAGTAACCTAGGCTTTCTAATGGGCAGAAGAGACAAATGCGAATTTTTTTTAAAAAGCCATTTGTGATGTCACTCCAGTCAATATGGGGTACACCCAGTAAAAAATGATGGTAGAGGTACACTAGCTCAACATACGTCTCAGTGAGAACTGTATGTCCGTCAAGAGGTCCTTAATTTTCTGACACTCTGGAATTTACGCCACGCAATCGTCTGCAACAAGAAAAAAATTATTTAGACGACTGTAGAGTTACATTCCTCCAAACTCATTCATAATGATGGGTGTTCTGAGGCCTCCGAGAGAGAAGTTCTGCGAGACTGCTGGCAATAGATCTCTCCCTGTTTGTAAACAATGGGACATCACTGCGGGCACCCAACCTACCATACCCTCGCTTTAGAGCAGGTGCTGGCTGACAAAAAAGTTCCGCCGGCGGCATCTTTCTCCATAGGCAAGCTTCGTGTCTGCATTCCTTCGACAGAAATTTCTACACTGCTATGCTCTAAAGCCCCAGCTTTTCAAAGAAGGGGGTTGCGGTAGGGTCACTGCTCATTGAGTGGAAATTTGCTCGCCGTAGATGGATGGATGAAGAAACTTTAGAGTACTGAGAGATGCGACTAGTACGCAGTTGGCTTAACCCACATAAATGGCGGCTATAAAATAATCTTACTTTTTTCGGAAGCGAACGTTTTGAATGTAAATTCGACTAGCACTGAGAAATATTTGCATGGCATGGATGTAAACTTATTCAAGATTTATCGTGGCATGTGCAATGCAGTTTTAAACCAGGTATAGCATTGGCGGCAGCACGAGTGTGAGCGGCTGTGCACGATGTCATGGATAAGATTCTCACTCATTTTGCACACAAGTCTAATCGGAGATAAATGAAAAAAAAAAAAGTAACACTTTTTGCCGTGCGTTAGGCTGAGGTTGCCATATCCTCGTGAAAATTAGAGTGAAATTCTTCTGCTGCGTTTCTCAGTTACCTAGTGAAAATTCATGTGATCTAAAACCCGACAACTTAATTTTACCTGGCACAGTTACCTTGTTACATTTGACACTTACGGATTGTTTTTGTACCTAAATTGCTCCTTTAGGCCTGATACTCAAACTTGTAATACGCATTGTCACTTCTTCAGGATCAAGCCATAAAAGTACAAAGTAGAAAAGAAACGTAAATCTCCGCTGTTTCCCTTAACACGTATCAGGTATTCGACAATACGATTGATAGCCATGGTGAAGCGTATATGCAGATTCGGCAATGCTACAACATGCTTATAGCTCATGCGTAGTCGTATATTGCACCCGGAGGTCATGCACTTTTATTTTTATGCACGCAGCACATACGCCGAGATGTACCCACTTGCAGATGATCGCATTAAATGCATTTTTACCTTGACCAAAATGTCAGATTGTAAATTTTCATCAACAACCGGTTACTGCAACTTGACCACAACGAATACCAGTGTTTTTGCAAACAGGACATACTGTGTTATTCACACTGGAAACACCCACGCACTATCACCGCCTATAAAGGTGAAACAATATTGCTGATGCCTTTCAACGCACACTACACCCCACAGTCAACGATGCACATTTTCGAAGATGATGCCGCTGTTCCTTGCAAAGGCCGCCACATGTGTTCACTTCTCAGAATTAAACAGCCAACCAGCGCGGCAAATATTCCATCACCCACTTTACCACACATCAAGATGTTCTTTGACACATACCACAGCTAATGTTGCCACTGTGAGATGGAGATTAAGCTTTCAAAAAGAAAAAAAGAAACTGGCCCCAAGCACCGAGCGACTGCACCCCACTCAGCCACTGGCGGGAATGTTTTGCACGCGCACAGGTGATGTCACGCTGTGACGTACCCCATTAGAGGTCTGTTACAGTGACAGTACCAACAGTTCAACATAAGCAGCCACTATGAAATCACACAACTGAATTTGTTTGTCTAATTGTAGTTATTAAGCCATTGAACACTGAAAAAAAAAATCGCATTTCCCCTGCAATAAGTATGGAACCAGGTTAACACCATGCATCCGTATTCTTTTGTTGCAATCAAAGTGCATTCAGCATCTTCCACACAGCCAGACAGCATGCACTTCTGTGAAGCAGCAAGACTGAATGTGATCCAAACCAGAATCTTGGTGCCTTGTAGGCCCTTTTGCTTGCCAGCACCACTGAATGGCTCGAATTTAATGCACAGCGTACAAGTGGGCAATGACAAGGTCCCATAACACATTGCATTTATTATGCACAGGAGGAATGGATGATGAAAGCATTCCTTTTTAGAAGGAAGCAAAACTGCACAACCATGCTAATCCATTGTACATTTAAACTAGCACAAAACCCAAAAAAAAGACATGTTCGACCGCATATTAGAAATACACAAACTGTGAAAACAAGGCACATGAGACGACCTATTAAAAATAGACAACCTGTAAAAAAATATGATTTTCCTGCAGGGGAGCCATACAGACTGGCACGAAAAAGTTGACCAGCTTAGATGCTTCTGTACATGGGAAACCATACAGCATGATGGCAGCAATAAGCTATCATTGCTGGCAAACCAAACCATAATTGGCAGGTTTCCAAGGAGAGAACAAATGGGAATGCGATAAGAACGATAAGCTGAGCCCAGCATGCTGCAATGACAATTTGAAGCGAGATAATGAATGTAGACTGGCATGAATGCCTCAACATGACCTCCAAAAAAGATAGAGCAATACTAATCGCAAAATAATTGCAAGGTCCTGTCCCATGATGAGCCATGTCATGGGGAAATGAGCACACATTTGTATTAGGTGCCCCGTCAACATTGCAAAAAAAAATTGAAAAATTCGGTCACTTAGTGCACTGAAGCTGGCCTATAGATAAACACAGTTGTGCAACAGGCCAGCAATTGCATGCTGGACTACTTGCGCAACCACAGTTCAGAAGGCACAATGCTTTGAATCAGTGACGCCCACATCAAACAAATAAACCAGTGCGCACCAAAATGTGACTTAAGATTTGCAACAGGAGCAGCCAAATATGGGACAAAAATGTTGCCACATAACATGGAGTACACCGTGAGGCCTAGTGGAATGGCAAACTTTGCATTTGCAAACATACACAAGCCTCAAGAAAAAAAAAAAAATAGGACAGGGCTATACACTATCACCATATGATCACTTCCATGAAGAGAGCCACTGCAATATCAAACAGCAAGCACTGAAATCTTTACACCAGTACTGATAATGCATGGCTACTAAGAGGTTCTATGGCATGCCAACTATCAAGCTCTTCAATAATGAAGAAAAATATTTCTATCTGTGAGGACGTAACAAAGGCAAAACTGTGCAATTTACCGGAATGCCCACCAACATGACAATGTATATTATGTTTTATTAATATTAGTGTGGCCACCAACAATAATTTTCCCTAGTCACTATACATCATCAGTCAGTGGTATTCCTCACTATAGAGGAATATCATACTGGTATTGCTCAATACAGAAAGTGATTAAAGTGACTAACAAAGACAATGGGCTCTAAAGGAGTGAACAGCTTTGGAAACAGTGTAATAATTTACACTTTTTAAAAATGATACTGCTTGCCAATGAAACTGCAGAAGAGAGAAAAACAATTGATTTACCTCTACACAATTGAGAGAATGACAATTTCGTACACATGAAATGATGCAGTCAGATAAAAAGAAATTTTCTGAGTAAAATGTGGAAGATGCTCCACAAAGGCAAATTGCTGCATGCACAAGTTAGCAGGTTATAAAATACAACTTTTACTGTGATGTCTTTTTCACGAGCAAACTTGTATGCGTGGTTATGGGGCATGGGCACGAGTGCCCACGCCATTGCATTAAACACAAGTATAAAAAAAAAACCTACGTATGAATTATATCACACACATGGTGCTGCAAAAACTGCACTGTTGGAAGTGCCCTTAAACATATCCCAATTGCTAGAGTCTTTGGGAGACTATTTTGCACAAACGACCGATTATCGCTAGTGCCGAAACACCTGCGCAGTTCGAAGTGGGCACATCGAATCAATCGAAATAATTTTACCTCATTCAGCTGCTTTCTGCAGAAAACAGCAAATATTGCTAGTTTTTTTTTTTTCGTTCCATTGACGGAAATACGTGGCACCTGGACGGTTTTATCGGTAGCCTTGCCAATATGCATGCATACATAGGACCAGCCTATCAAATGCGGCTGCACTAGCGCCTGAATCACGCGCAAGTCTCGATCGCTGGAAGGCCATATGCGATCGGAAATATCACTGCAGCCAACTCAGCTTCAATGAATGTATCCGCGTAGATCAACAAAACATTCGATATAGCTTTCGCGCGGACGAAAACAAATCGGTCGAACGACGCCTGAACAGGGAGGGGACAGCAGAGGCGCACGAGAAAGATGATCGGCGCATCGCGTCAACAGCACAGACCCGGTTTCGAATGCTCACCGCGGCTCTTCGCGTTCTAAATGGAAGCGGCCCATCGGCGCTGCGCCAGCGATGAAAAGCAAGTCCGCTAAAGCCCGTAACGCGAAGGCCGCCGTGCTCAAAATGCCGAGGCCAAAACCAGCAAACAAAGCGGAAGGGCTTGCGGAAACAGTTTAATACTCAAACCATCCCCGCAGATCTGGAAATGCAATGCCCGGAGAAGGAAGAGTTCCACTTACACGGCACCAAAGGGGACGGCCTAAAAGAGCGAGCCACGGCACATCTGTGCAGATAGCTGACACCAAGTGACAAGTTTGTCGTCGCCCGAACGAGACAGGACTCGGAGAAAGTTTACAGGTTAGGTTTATCGAGGGGCGGGTGCGGGGCGTTCATCGCACGAGACGATTGACGTGGCCACGCTTTTCTTTTTTTACGTCACAAGGGTTAAGCTCCGCAATTATAACGAAGCTATTAGAAAAAAAAAAAAAACTCGGAATATTCGAAAGCTGGCAACTCACCAGCTGGGAATGACGGAAACGGTCAAGATCTGCTGCCGCGTTCCGTTCGAGACACCACGCCGAGGGCACTGGAGGGGCGATCGCGAGCTGCAGCGAACACGAGGAGCTTTCTTTGCACGCGGAACTACTACAATGCAAAGCGCGTGTGCACTGCCTGCCTGCCCGCACAGGCGGTGTCCCCTTCCACGGGACGAACAAAGAGGCCTCTATGAGCCAAGCAAAGCAACGCGAATTTTTTTTTTTTTTTTCTGCCTTTACCGTTTCGTTCATTTTTTTTTTTTTTCCTACTCCGCGAAGTGGACAGGCGCTTAGCGCCAAAGGACAGGACACAAGCTGGAAGATCGAGCAACTGGCGAGTCTCGGTTGCTGTAGGAAGCTCGGCTCTGTGGCCAGCCTAGCTCGCTCCACACGGACAGGCGGAGAAGCCAGCGGGACCCGATGTGCGCAGCTCGGACAGTATGAATCGGCAACGCTCGTCTTCACGAGCCGCGACCCGAACGCACACGGCTAAGACCTCACCTGGGTGGCTGTTCAATACGGGGCCCCGGGCACGCAGCAAAGTCCCGAGGTGCAATCTCACGGCCACTAACAATCTTCGAACACGGAGGTGGACACCTAATATGGCCGACAGATGACTGACCACGAACGAAGGTGACGGCAGGCTGCTGCTGGCTTGAGCTAAAGAAGAAAAAGAAAAGCAACGAAAACAAAGAAGTTTAGCACAACGCCAGGCTTATTTCTGTTTTGATTGAAAGATCATAGTTAGTATATCCGATATTTTTTCAGTTGCTCTGCACGATAAGAAAAACAATTACACGGTAAAATACGAAAAATAAATCTGCAGGATGATGCCGTTACATCTGCAGGGTGGTAACCAGTGGTAACAGCGCGCGAAGTCTGGTCTCGCGGTCTAGTCAATCCAATCCGCACATCCGTGTTCATCACGTGCTCTCAAAGCGCATGCGCAAGGCAAAAAAAAAAAAAACACAGAGAGAGAGAGAGAGAGAGAAAAGAAAATAGTGGGGGGAAGACTTACGTGAGCACAACAACAACAACAAACTTATTTCCGCGTTTTGCCGTCTCCTGTATTTCTTTCTGGGACGCATTCAAGGTCGTTTAATGTGCGGGAAGTATGAGATACGAAGTGTTGTACTTACTGATCCGTACTCTCAAAGCAAACGCGAGCGCAGGAAATGTAATAAGCAGCGCCGAAGAGCGCGATCCTCGCGATAGTGAGGCTGCTGCTGCTGCTGCTACAGCTCTGTCGTAGGTCGTGACGTAGCCGGCGAGATTGATTCTCAGCTGGTTGGCTCACTCGCCAACATTTTCATCGTCGCCACGCGACCAGCTGCACACAACCATCCCACCGCAGACACCATGAACAACGACCGCTCAGCTGTTTTGCCTGCCTCCACGCAGCAAGTTATCCTGAACACGGGCAACATTCTAGGCTGCAAGGACCTGACGAAAAAAGTGTTTCAGTCTCTCAGAGAGGAGGCGAGTTGCCCGATTTTATATTTTTCCACTTGTACATTGGAATACGCTTGTTTCAACTTCTCTTTTTTCCGGAGCACGCAGTTCGAAAATGTTAGAATCGACGTTGAAACTATGCTGCGCAAACATTATTTGTCGGTTGTCGGCTTGCTAGCGCAGACATTCCGTTTGTGCAAATCCTAGTGGGGAGAAAACGCGTGATCGCTTGCAACGGGTACCTCATAATTGCCCTCAGTTACGTAAGGAACAGTGATATGCAAGCCAACGCGTAAATGCCTGGTGCGGCCAGCCTTCGCATAACATCCGAGGGTGTTAAACTTTGCAGTTTAAAGGACGCAAAACATGTGTGGACGACGCGCGGGGATATGTTGTGCTGCATTCATCGTAGACACTTGTCTCGCATGCTTTGCTTGTATCACTTGCGCGTACTTCGTGTTGTAATAGAGTGATGACCGCTTGCGAAACTAGATTCCGTGCACTACTTGATCATTGCGGACCCTTAAGTCTACGTTTGTGAATTCCCTAGCAGTGTTGATTTGCTTCGAGCCCTCACTTCAAAGTTTTACCGATGTGCCTCAAAGAGTGTACCTTGATTGACTGTCTCCCACTTCTGAAATTCAAGCTGTACTTTTGAATCAGAAAAAAAAGAGAAAATGAGCGAGAAAGACAGCGGGACAGTACCACGTGAGTTGCATAGAGCACTGATGCTCCACATTTTAGGGGCATACATTTGTTGCATTTAGTTTGAGAAGGTATGTCGCCTCATTAGAAAAAAACGAAGCAAAAAACTTCAGTAAGGTTGGTCCGAAAGTTATAAAGTTTCAATATTGCGTTCTAAAGCTTCGTTAGTTAGGATGGTTAAGGTGATTAATTATAGAATCTCTGAGGAAACATAACATTGAGCAAACCATGTTTCCAAATGTTGGTTTTATGTCAGCTGCGATAACATTGAAGGAATGCAATGAGGAAGACAAACTGTACCCTGAACTACAATTGACATATTGCCTAGTTAAAGTGACTTATCATTACAATACTGAGCAAAATTTTGCCTGGGGAAGCCTTTTTTTATACATAGTTCTCACCTGACATCACAGACAGGTTCTCAGCGCTGGGTACCTTAATGTGACGGCCACTGTCATTTTTTATCACATTAGAGTGTCAGTGTAGAGGAGGATACAACAGTCTTTTGGTCCCTTGCGTTTTTTTTTTTGCTCTCCCCTCCTTTTTGTATTTGCCAGTGGGTGCCAAGGGGGAACAGAAAGAGATGTAAGGGAACACCGGCAGTAATCTAAGGTTACCTTTTTTGCTCCATGGCATTCACGCAGCATCTCAATTAGCTTGTACTCTAGATGACGACCACAGTGATGTCAATAAAAACTGTGTATATATGATTACCCACAACTTAAAAGGTTACCATTTGATTTCAGTTATCCTGCTTCATTGAGCAAATTAATGTATAAAAATACTGCACGTAAAAAAATATCATGCGGAAATTTTTAAAGATGCCTTGCAACACTTTTTCAGCATGGTCAGAAAATGCTGTCAATCAGTAGTCGAGGCTCCTGAGAACATGTGAGCTATACATTGTAGTGCAGCGCACGGCCTGGAATTCGCAATTAATTCTTAACGTCCGGTAGAAATCGCTCTCTGTTCTCTTGACAAATGATGCCATAAACCCAAAGTCCATGGCCACTGGCTCGTTTAAGCATTGGGAGCTGCATAGTTAACTGCGGCCGTTGCGACATTCGCAACATGCTTATGCTCAATCACACTCAACCTAAGCTCGGCGTTAAAAAAATGAAAACATTCAAGTTTATGAGACGCATTGACAAGTGGATGTAGCATCTTGCCTGCTTGTCATCCCCCTGCGTACCTCACAGTGTACTCGCTGGTATGAAAGGAAAGTGCTTAAAGCATGTGACAAATCCCTGTGATTCTGCTTGTACGTGGCATATTTTAAAAATATTTGGGGCTGTCAATTCATGAAGCAATAAACTCCTTTCATGAAGCCATGGGATGAGTGATTACTTGGAAAAGTGTTGCGGGGTCCTCTTAAACACTATATCGCTGTTTGCATGGCTGTTGTGCAAAAGAGGGGAAAAAAAGGTTGCTCTGAGAAAAACTGGTTTGAAGCAAGTATTTAGCTAATAAAATAGCCATAAAAGTTCATGACGCTCGTGGCTCGGACTCTCTTTAAAAGCTGCGCATTCAACTGTACTAGCAGACACAAATGTTCATTTTTTTCTCATGCTTGGCATATCAATTTGACTGACTTGTAGACGTCCTGGAACAGTTACAAAGGCTTACCTTAGTTGTGTCGCAGCCGGGTTCGATGCTTGCCTTTTTAAGAACAGCTGCCCCTTTTTATCGTTTGAACTTGGTGACAGCATCATTAAATCAACATTTTAAAATTTTGCTGTTTGGAACACGCATTTTTTCCAATACTGGAGCACTTGCAGCTGTTACATACAAATTTTTTAAATCTAAAGTAAGGGGATAAGGTGTCACAAAATGCTTTAGTAGTAGTATAACATGCCACAGTAAATGAATGATCATGAAATAATCCCTGACTATAAATGTATCTAGTGATATTTTTCATGATAGGGCTTCTATTGTTAAATTAGGAACTTCAGTCCAGTTTCAGATCTGTACAGAAGGAAGAAATTTTCATAATTTATGAATACTTAAAACAGAAACCTAGTTTCTTATACCGAATAATCTTAAATAAACAGCAGCCTTACATGTTTACAAATCAAGAAAACTAATTTTTCAAAGGGGGAATGTATTTAAAATGACGTCCGTCACCAATATTGCATTGATAATGTTTGAGAAGATCCAGGCAAGCAAGCATGTTGTGGTTGTAGAAGAACCTTTGATTTGTGAGTTTTTACATTACGTATATATAGTGAGTGGGGTGAGGAGAGAAGAAAGAAAGCAAGTGCAGCATGCGACAAATCCCTATCTCTCCGCTCGTACCTTACAGATTCTAAAAACTTTTTTTGGCGCTCTATTCAGTAGGCTATAAACTCCTTCAGTGAAATCATTTGGTGGTTACTAGGAAAAATATTGCAGGGTCCCTTTGGAGGAACCACTTTTCTTACACTCCAAAAATAAAAGATAGCGTAGAAAGGCTGTCTTTTTGTCCCACAACAGTAATCATCCGGGTTGCTTGTGCTTCTACTTTTGAATACTCAATGCTGGCCACTTTTCTATCAAGAAAGCTATGTCACACTAATAACGCACATGTCGTTCGGTACCTGAAAGTGCTGGGCGTGCGGCAATAGTGCAAGGAAAGGAACACAAGGTGGATGATGATTATTGTTGTGGAGCAAAAAGATGCTCGTTTTACTTGATCTTTGCTTTGAGTGTAGCAATCGTCAAATGCAGTATCAGAGTTACTGCCTCATAAATTGACTGCAGCAGAAATTTCTGTCAAAGGCAAGTGGAGCTGCCAGGATATCTGACTCACTTCGAGCACTTTCTCTCTTCTCTAGACTTGGCAGGCTACGCAGGAAGAGATATTTAGGAGGAAAGATTTCATTTCAACACCCAAGATAAAATCCGATACCTCTCTCGCACTGCGATTCGTGTTTGCAGGTGTGGCTGCTGGGTAATGTTGGCACACTGTTTGGAATGCAGCTTCAGCACATGCTGGCACCCCATGGTACAAAGTGCGTCTGATCTTAACACCACTCTTTATCTATGTCAGCTTTAACCAATGGCATGCCATTGGTTGTTTCTTCTCAAACAGTGGGCACTACAGCTTTAAAGAGGGCGAGTGCAGGCTCTGTAGAAAACAGGTTACATGATAAAATAGAAAATTCATGCTCCGCTTTAGAACCCTTTTCATCATGCACCGCAGCAACATTTCGCTCAGCATTTCACAGAGTTTCGGCTTTTCTGTGGATGTGTTTTTCAATTAACCTGAGGGCTGGTTCCTGACCTGATTAGAGGATCGCTTGCACTGGAGCTTTTTTTTTTGTTTCTGTGGCAGTTGTTCACTATTTAGCCAATATTCAAATTAAGGGATGTTATAGTTATCCTGTGCACAATGAAGGTATTTTGCTCGAACATGCATATTTAATATTGTAATATCGTGGCACAGAAACTTGCACATTTTCTTGTTATTTCACTTTGTAGTAGTTTTCTCATTTTTGTCTCGCTTAGTTATACCTGTCGCACAGCATTAATTACACTTTGAAATAGAGGAGGTGATGCTGCATTTCGATACACTTGTGTTGCTCAGTTGCAGAGTGCATTTGTTAGTTTCATGCATTCGTTTTTGTGTGTTTCTGTTTTCTTTTGCAGCTCATACAAAGCCTGACACTGGCTCTTGCCAAGTGGAAATCGTCTGGCAACGATGTCAATTGTTCTGTAAGTGTGACTTTGTTAAAAACATACATTGATGAGTTTTGTCATAACTTTTCTAGTGTTACAGAGTTTGTCTGCTGTCCTCGCATTTTTTGTTGTTATACTGTTGTGGTAGTGCTGTGAAAGCTTGACCTTAATTCTTCCTATTTTATCTCTTATGTTGCTGATATATCCTGGCTGCTTCATTAGAAGTTAGCACCAAAGAGGAACAACAAGCAGTGATTCGTTTCCTCTGGTCTGAGGGTATCGAAAGCTCAGAAGTTCATCGCCGACTATCCTCGCAGTGTGGGAGAAAAGCACTATCATGTAAAACTGCGTTTTGGGAGATTGAGAATTTGCAAATTGCAACAAGCAATTCGCCACAAAGGCTGAGGTTTGTTGTCGAAGAAAGCTTTGTTGTTGCATGACAATGCACGGCCTCACATGGCTCATCACACTATCAAAATCATCAACAAGGTAAAATTTGAGCTAATCGAACACACTGCCTACAGCCATAACCTAGCTTCGTGTGGCTTTCGCTTGTCTGGGTCACTCAAGGCGTTGCACGGTCGCTAATTTGCCCGAGAATTAACATGCAAAATTCTGTGTAAAAGTTGCTTCACGACCAACCAAAAACCTTTTATTTGGAAAGAAAATAAAAGCTCATTTATCGTTGGTCGAAGGGCGTTGATAAGGAGGCAAATTAAGTAGAAAAATGATGTGTATAGCACAACCCCAGCTTCACATTAAAGGGTTCTTCACCACGTTTCCTAATTTAATGCTGATGAGCGCAGTGCATACATGAGGCGTTCACAATCACGTCTGCTAAAATTCACAGTGCTACGTGCCATGGAAGTAGGCTAAATTTCAAGATGAACGCTGCATGCCCTTCTTTTTACGGTGCACCCAGAAAATGAGGAAATAACGTGGATGACAGAAGCGTCCTACGTTGACTGTAGTACTGTGATGTCAGTCTTCTACGTAGATGACTCTGATCTGACGTCATCAACGTAGCACGTGACATAGTGAAATTTATTTCACACAATGAGCAGTTTGTGCAATTGGTTGCTTGAATAAATGTAGTACTGTGATGTCAGTCTTCTACGTAGATGACTCTGCTCTGACGTCATCAACAGTAGCACGTGACATAGTGAAATTTATTTCACACAATGTGCAGTTTGTGCAATTGGTTGCTTGAATAGATGGATGAAACTTGAGATAAATAATGAGACACAGAAAAGGAATGTGTGTGGCTTATTAATTTTTTCTCGTGAATTGCAACATAGTGTGGGCCTAATGTGCCTGTGTTTCTCATGCTTTGGTTACCCCGCAGTTAGTGCATCGAGCAGACACCAGCGTTGGAAGCGAAATTACTGGTCCTGCGCGTTGAAACACTCGTTATTCTCATCTATTTTATCGCGTCTAAGCCAGCATTTCCAAGTAAGTGTGCACTGAGGCATCCATCCTGCTAAAGCTGCAGAAAAAACAGGCAGTAGACCACAATATAATGCTGGCTAACAAAACAATGCCACTTGCGTGCTCGGGGGCTGGGCTTTCTTGGGCACGTCCGTGACCTCTTGCTCAGATGTCGGAAAAAGTAGGGAAGAGATTTCGCTTGCGAAGGCTACGCGGGATGAGCGGCAAGGGTTTTGAGCTCACTTCCTTGCATGATGGTTTCCCACCACTTCACTATAAAATAGTGGTTTTCTCAACTCATAATGAACTGACTGAAATTATACTTGTGGCATAATGGTCTTCTTTGGACAAGCAACAACTGGCAGTGTCTAACTAGAATTTGTTATGGGGCCTGGTGAGGGCCCATTTAATAAACTTTAGAATGAAAAGTGTAGGTAATTTTTTACTTGCCCTCGTGTGTGCGTGTGTGTGTTTGTATAGACACACACACACACACACACCTCTCAGACAAGCTTACTCTCTGCACCTCTTTTCAGCACCTGTCAAGTCCTCTTTCTCTGCTGAGTGATGTAATATTGCCTGGGGCAGTTGTAGCCCACATTGCGTATTTGTTTATGCCATCTGTATCTCGCACCACGCTTTCTGACCACTTTGCCTGTGTGTAAGTGACCCGAGCTACATATAGAGGAAACTTTGCTTATTTGTTGGCTGCATGCCTACAATGCAATCGCTTATATTGTGCTAGATTTAGATTGCCTAGTGGGTGTTGTCACAATAACAAACTATGCCTACCCCGTTCTGCTGTGGAGAAGGGTGGCAAGGCTGACCCAGTAGTCAAAACCAACCGAAATTGTTGATTTATCTCCTTCAACTTCATTATTACGCAGCTTGTTTGCTGAATTCTTGCAGAAGCATGTCCACATGGTACAAGTGTGCAGTTATGTCTTGAACAGAAATTTCAGACTGGAAGGTTTTTTAACCATCTAAATTAGTAATTTGAAGATGGCCGTGTAAAATTCGTTGCAATAAATGGTAAATAGTATAAAGCACAGGACATGAGCAAATTATTTTGGTTAACTTTATTCGACTTCCTTTACATTGTACTTGCAATGTTTCAGCTTCTCAATCGCAGAATGAAAAGTGCCACAGATGAAATAAGATAGCTGTCAGAGGTGCTTATCATTTCTCTGTGAATCAAAGTCTGGCCATTTGGTACAGTGTGTTGCCAGAATCGGAGAAGCCTTATTCTGATGGTGTCCAGGAAATGAAAACCCAAACTTCAGCGATACACACTGTACACTGATAGTTGTGAGCTGAGCATTAACCGTCAATAATCTGATCACTGGGACAGCGCATCGTCTTTTATACAGGAGCCATCGAGTACTGGTGCTCGCTCAATCTCTTCACGCAGGGGAGGGTTCCACACTAACTGTTAAAGGAGCATTGACGTCAAATTTACTCATGTCAAGGCTTTTGCGTGAACGAGTAGCTATCTACCCCCTAGTAGCGATTCGTGACCTAAACCGCACCTGAGTGACAAATGAATATCTGTAATATTGATAAATATATGCGCTATCGAACGAGGTTCAAAATGGGTGAAAAATCCGCCAAACTGTAGTGCTGTGAGTGCAACCTCGGCGCCACGTCGCAATCGCTGCACCGCTGATGCGGCTTCCACAAAAAATGGTGACGTCACACACACTAGCATTTCGTCTGCTAGGAGTGCACGTGCAGTCAGTCCAGCTACAGTGTACTAGAAACTTCTAGTTTTCTTGTACACTGTAGTTCAGCTGTGTCTCTGATGGCGTAGATCAAAGCCCCTCCATGCGTTTTCAGCCAGCAAGGTTAAATAGTGCCAACTCGTTCTTCCTCTCTCCCTTTAGCCCCGGCCTCGAAAAGGGGCCTCGCACTGCCTGTGAAACCCAACTGGTTCGCCAACGCAGGATTTACCCTGTACAGAGGGACCCTGGACCCTGGACAGAGGGACTGGACGCCGCACAGGTGTGCAGTCCCTCTGTCTATCGGTGCATACAAAGTCAACCCACTGGCTGCGTTGAGGTTCGTGGCTCGGAAAGACATGAAACGGCACGCACTTTCCGCTTTTTCAGCGCCTCGACGTGCAGGTTCTCATTGAGCAGCAGTTCCCCGACATTCTGGCACGTATTGCCACTCTAAATGATTGTACTCGCGCTGTGGAGCGCATGTCAAATCAGTCGATGCGACACGATGAATCGCATGCACATTTCAACACAGCAAGGAGAGCCATCAATGAGAGCATGGCCGGGGGTCCGCTCCAAACACACTCAGATCGTCGGCGTCATTGTTATAGCGTATCGTCACTCAGGATGGTATTTATGAAATGTACCACACCGAACACGTAGCACTAGTGTCGATGTCGCAGGGCAGTCTATTTTCTGTTTTTTCTCTGTAGCTTTTAAACGCTGTTTGACATCGAATTAAAATAGGAAGCACGTCACGGATGCCATTCAAATTTGGCCAAGAATACCTATGCACACGAAGTGATCGAATGATGGGCACATCTCGATCTTCAAATTTGATGCCAATGCTCCTTTAACACTCTTTGCAAGCGGAACCTGAGCACACCGAAAGAAAGCAATAAATATGCATGACACTATATACAGGTGCATCTTTCTTGTAAAAGTAGTAGTTTGATAATCGGGACTAGGTTAATACAAGTTTTAGTTATATTTTCTCACTGCAGTGTTGGTGCAGTGCTTTTGTCTGTTTTTTATTTATGCGAATATTTCAGTTCACATTCCTTTTACTGTTAAAGGTCGCTGACTAGGCCCATTAGTTATTAATACATACATAAATCGCAAAAAAAAATTTAAAAAACACTGGGACGAAAAGCAGACACTGGACAACCACTTCTGCAATATATCTGTTGGGTATGTTGGTTTTGTTAGGGGGCGACCAGCTCGTACAGCTTCATCTGTAATATTATTACTGCAGAGGTGTCACAGCTGCACCAATTAGGCCAATTTGATATAATTTCCTATTGTTGCACCACGCTGTGCCAAAATGCCCAGCGAGCTTCAATGTTTTCTCAGGTGCGCTAATTTCAGCGACAAATGCAAGCCACGTCGGCCACCTGCATATTGCGCCATTCATCAAAGCGCGCAGACCCCACCTATAGTGCCTATAATGTACTTAAAATATAACCGGATGAGGTAACAACGGTGCACGCCCATCAGTCCGTTGACTTGCAGCAGATACCTATTGGCAAGACGATAGAACAAGACAAAAATTCATTGCTGTAGCCACCAACGCTTGGCGGAAAATGTTACTTTCCTAACCTGGAAACTTGGCTATGGCTTGTTAGGAACTAAAGCTGGAAACGTGTGTCACGTTTTCCTCGCGCGAACAAGCTCGATGTGCTGCGAATGCGGGCGTTCAAAGAGACCATGTTGACTGCCTGAAAAGTGGCACATAAAACTTTTTTGTTTTACAAGAGAGCCGAAGCGGCACCTAACCCCCCCCCCCCCCCCTGGTGAAAGAAGAAAAAAGGTGGGGTGGGGGGGGGGGGGAGGTGTAGCTGTTAAAAAATTTCATGCCTTTGGTTCTAACTCTGTGTAGGAAATGCCGCTTGAGCCACCTTTGCCACAGTATACCGGTGCCCAGCGGAAAAGCGTATTGATATTTGGACTGGGTTGTTAGCCACTTCCAGCACCTTATCTATTTTTTCAGTGCCTGGGTGAAAAAGTGTATTTCAATGGGAAGCGGCTGTCGGTGCTAGTGCGGCGTTTCGCCGCCAGGTGCCGCAACTGGAGTAGAGATGCCATCGCGGCTGCATTCGAGTCTGTTATGCGGCTCAGTTTTCGGCTGTATTTGCATTGTTTAAGATGTAATGAAAATTTGGAAACGATAATCGTGACGCACTTATTCTGGACACCTAGCTAATTTTAAAGGCATGTGTCGTTCGCGACTACTTAGATCGAGGCGCTCGCGCGTCGTCTGCTAGGCTGATACCAGATAACTGATGCCTGTAATCCGCAGAAGATCGTTTTGTCATTTTAACATATGGTGTAGCAGCGCATCGTTTTGTCACCAGGGCGTTCACTTGTCTGAGTGTTGCTTTTTCGACTAACTGAAAGTATATTTTTGAGAGAAGCCTTCGCCATGAGCTAATATTAAAAGCTTGGGTGTTTAATGTTGTGCGATGCTTGCTACTCTTTAGTGGCATAGCACATTATGTGCAAGCCTGGAGTATATGCACTAAATAGCACAAAATGCCACTAGACTGCTTCTAGATATATAGTTCATCATCCGTCCCCTTCGCAAAACATTACATGTGTAGCCACCGAGAAAAAACAAGCGTCAGAAAATGAGGAAATATGGCAGGTGATTTCACCATTTGAGAGCTTAAACTGTGAAGTCATTGTGAAATAAACTAGAACAGCTCCATATGCGGTGCGATTTCTACGATCATTGACTATGTTTTGAACAGGCGCTGTTAAAGTCTGAAATCTAATGCAGACTCTCAACTTGAGCCAAGGTGACAGGCAGGAAAAATGCAGCCTGTGGTCAGTTGCTTGAGCTTGTCTGTGTATTCGTGGACGAATTGTTGTAGCCTTAATATTTGGTTGCTCAGCTCTATTTCTTTCTTCTTCCCTTTGGCGTCTTAATTCGGTAGCGATCAGAGTAGAGCCAAATGCCTGTGTGGTGCCCATGTGTTGTCATTTAGCTTCGGGGCGAAATGTTAGTGTTGCATACGGCAGTGATCGCGAGGCAGCGTTGTTACTGACAGGCTCATTTGTTGACTGTTTGGATGCAGCACACTCCCGTTTAGTAATACGAATTGCCATGTTACCAAACGTGACGGGTAGTGTTCAGTCACCACTACTTATAATCTATAAAATGTTCGGGTTGTAAATGACGGCTACGTATTAGAGTAGTACAAGGATTTATTAGGAGACCAATTGTTCTGCTTGTTTACTGCAAGCACGTTCCCCCAGAACACCAGAGGAAGCTGTGATTTCATTGAGCTACAGTCGTACTGTGCAGTAAGGGGATAGCTTCAAATGCCTCACATAAACCAAAAAACGTGATAGCTGGCAGCATCTGGCGTCTTCCCGCGTCGGCGGCTTGAACACGAGTGATGCAAGAAATCATCATTACGTGAAAACGCCATCATATGACGTCACATATCATAAATGCTTGTGACGTATCGGAAGGTCACACAACTTGACTATATGATATAAAATCTTCACATGGTTGAAATGGGCCAATCATAAGGGCAGTGCATCACCAGCTGAGGGGCAGAAAGCTAGCTTTGTTTCCAATTTTTGAGGCAGTAAGAAAGTGATGTTGGGTGCAGAAATATCCTGTAGGGATGTAGGAAACATTCTATGCATTGAATCGAAAGAAAACGGGCATAGTTATTGCCTTTCAGTCGTCTGAGGTGAGTCCATAAATGGACCGGCGCGTTATTTTTTTTTAACGAATGTGAAATGAAAAAAAAAAAAAAAAGACTGTCTGATTTTTTCTGTCAGATATTCAGAGTGATACACAGAAGTATTATATACTGACGCATACAAGTAATGAGGTTGCGATAGCTTCAAAGAAAAAAATAAAATGTGAATGCTTTAAAACTCTAATGCATATAGTATCATACCGGTAGCACGACCTGAAGAGCCAGTTGAAAACAGCGTGTCGTTATGTTCGTGTTACTTTTCATCTTCCCTGCATCCGTGAAAGCCATCAAGAAGCACGACGGCAAATTAACTCGCATGAAAACACGAATTCGCGAGCTTCCTAATACGTGCGGTCGTTCAGCGCCAGCATCCCGTAGTCTACTCGCGCAGCGCCATCATGCAGCAGCGGCGATCGGAGACTGAGCGTGCGCTCAACGGTTTGAAGAGAGCGTTCGCCCGAGCACTGAAAAAATAGAGGAGTTGCTGGAAAAAAATGGAGGAGGTGCTGGTCAGGCTTGGTGGGTTCAGGAAATCTGGAAATGATTTTAGTGCCAAGAATGGATATATGCGTGATGTGATAGCTGCTCCAATCACATCAAACTATGCAAAAAGGTGAAACCTGTTAAAGCGTGCTACATTTTTGCAATAGTCTCGTAATTTGTACCCAGCATGCGCTAAGATGCTGTTCTTGAGATATATTTGAGAAAAAGAAGACTGAAGGTGCTAGCAAACCGTACCCAAGCCATTACTTTATTATCGTGTGATCACTGAAGCGTACTGTCGACTTAGTGTTTAAAAATAGTGCAAAAAAAATCTGAACACTCAAACACGAAGGAGTCAAGATGACATATTTGTCTCCTTCATGCCTGTGGTTTGTGTATTTTTTATGATTTTTTCAAATGTGAATTTGCACCAACTCGCCCAACTGTCCCTGCTAGTACTATCGGGTGCTGTGTTGTTGTAGTAGTTGCACATATGAAGTGAATTCTGGAAAAATGTCCGGTGTAGTGAACTTGGGCCTGCTATGAAAAACAAAACGTAGTAACTTAATTTCATCTTTTTGCATATTCTAAGTAAAAATTTTTGTATACATTTGTGCATACATCAATTTTGTTAAAAATGTGGTACAGCTGCTTCAACTTGGAGATAAATATATGAGTGGGAAAATTGCGCTTGGTAACTGCTCCAAAAGGTTGTTGTGCCACTCCAAAGAAAGGTTTCAGCTGCTACAAGAGGTGCGCCTGTAGATGATTACTTGCTCTAATCTTTGTCAGCCAACTCTAATTGGAAAGCAAATTTCTCGCTGCACGACAACTATAGCAGGGCGCGCGGCCCGCGCGAAAAGGAGCGATTCGACTCGTCGGTTACAGTTTCAAAACTGGTTTATTGAAAATGACTAAGAAGTTGGAAACAAAGGCTGTCGGGGGAATGGTGTGGGCGAAACCCCTTTCACTCCCGTTGATATTGCGTTGGCAGCCCTTCTCTAGACCCATTAAATTGGGTGGCGAAAATGAACTTCTGTATTTCTGGTCAACATTGTCCCATCGTGGCTGCTTAGGTGTTGAGCTCAAGCGGGTGCATGAGTTTCACTGGTCGTCGAAGTTACGTTTTGTTAGGCAGAAGTACTCGGCAACAAGGAAGTGTGCAGGTGTCGATGGTGTAACTCCCCCGCGTCCGTAAAGACGAAAGTCGAAGGACGGAAATTAACCACAGCTTCAGCCTGCG